TCGCGTGGAATGACAAGAGGTTTTATATACTCCTGTACATTGTACACGCTCCCTCAGCTGTTGCCGTCTTTTGCTTTCTGGTAGATCCAGTCTGAAGACGACATTTATATGACAAAGAAGAAATTTTAACTTTCAAGGCGGCAACCTTTGTATGTTTCAGAATATTACTGATAACATTAACTACGCACACTAAAGGTTTCAAGTCACTCAGGCGTCTGACAGTAGTTTTTTGTCACTTACTGAAAAAAGAAAACAAAAAAAAACCGGTAAACCACAAAAAAATTATATACATTTTACGTACTAAGTCTTACACAAATTAAAAAAATAAGACTATGGTTATAAAGTATTTATTTTCCAACGTGCATTCTTCAACGCAAAAGAGAAAAACAGCTCGATTAACTGGACGTTAAAAGTCTTATTCCAGCTTGTTATTCTTCTTGGATTGATTCTTCTATGTGACGTATTTCTCGGATTAAGTCGGGTAGAAAAGTTGCTTGATTGCCTAATTTACAAACAAATTCAGTATGGTTCATTTAATTCACACAGAAATTTCCAGAGTTTTCACTCTGTATCTTTTGTGTGAGCCTCTGACTTGTAACAAATGCGGCTGTATATGCTTATTTTTATACATCACTGTTTGCTGTTATAATGATACCTCTTGCTTCAATGCTACGAACTACAGCGATTATGTTCCAGTACAAAATAAAACTGCAACGTGTCTAGTTCAATTTGGATTGAAAAACCATAAATCTAAACCAAAACATGCGGTTGTGCAAACACTTTCAGTTTCTCTTATTGTTGAAACAGAAAACAAACATCGTAAACATTGGATTTAAATTCCGCTCCTTAAATGAAACAATCAATTTGCAAGTATTTAAAGACAGGAAGTGTGATGAAATGTATTGGTCAAATACGTGTGTTCTTATGTATCTATCTCCATTTATTTTTATTTCTTAAATTTGTATTTAACTCGTTTCCAAAATGATCAGAAGATAGATAAACGATTTATCAAGTGATAAAATACTCCATTTTTATACATTACATTTTGAAATGTGAAAAACTCTTTATATGCACATTTTGAAAGGCGAAAAACTTTCTTTGTGCATATACTGTGTAAAATGCCTTTTCTATACATATACATTTTGAAATGAAAAAAAAACATTCTATAGTTATACATATACTTTGTGAAATGCGAAAAACTATTTCTATACATATACATTGTGATAAGCAAAAACTCTTTTATAAATATACATTGTGAAATGTTAAGAAGACAATTTATATATATATATATATATGACAAATGTGCACTGTGAGCTTCGAAAACTTTCTTTCTGTACATATACATTGTGCAATGCGAAAAAAACTCTTTCTATTCATATACATTACGAAATACTTAAAATTCTCTTTGTATTCATATACATTGTGAAATGCGAAAAAGTTTCCCTTCTCCAAGTTTATAAGTTGCAATTTGTTTCAAAGCTAAATTTCTGGACTAATATTTTACGAACTGTTAGGCTTAAAGTTATAGGTTCGAATCAGGAGAATAAAAGGGGGAAAACACACACTAAACAACGGTACAATAAGCATGATTCAAAAGCACAGTTTTTGTTTGTCTTAAGACAAGAATAAAACGTAAAGTTGTAAAATACCTGTTTACCTTTGTAAAGTTTTACATAAAGTAGGTAGGTATTTTTTTTACTAGCAAACAATTTTTTAATTGTAAAAGTTTTTTGTCTTAAATTACTTCTATTCTCTCATGTAAATGGTTATTTTATCTTATGTAATTCATATTCTAGACATATCTCCTCTTTAAAGCTAAAATAAACAGAAATCAACATGTTGATTAATCACTTCGTGTAATTTCCCTGTAATATTCAGGCGAACTAAACGGGATGGTTAATTAACACGTTAAAAGTTGGCGAAAATTCACCGGGACAGAAACATACCGCCTACAAAAAAGGTAGTTTTTATCAGTTTCGGAAAACACATCTTAGATACGATGGGTAATTTTATGATATGTTGCTATTTTTATGCATAAGTAAAATTATAGTAATTATAATAATTCTAGGAAAATTCGAGACTGAAATTTTCTTCTAAAGCAGATACAATATTTTTGCTGTATATGCTTTTGTTTTTATTAAAATAAGTTATTAATAATGTAGTAAAATAATGATTACTCTTGCTCACTTTGTTTTTACCTGATGTTTATAAAACTTTTGAACAATAAACAATAATTAGCTTTCCACTTGATGTCACAGAATTTGTATTAGTTTCGTCAAAGGTACATGCTCACGATGATGACAATTTATAAACAATTTTGCGCACTACTGAACAGCCCCCAGTGTCACAGCGGAATGTCTTCGGACTTACAACGCTATAATCCGGGTTTCGATACCCGGGGTGGGCAGAGCACAGATAGCTCATTGTGTAGCTTTGTGCTTAATTACAAACAAACACACTGCTAAACAACTCTAAAAGCATTTCACGTGTCTAGTGATACCTAACGTTGGTTCTATCGAGAGAGGATATCCATGTAATAAATACGATAATAACATTTTAATTTAGGTTTGGAAAGCGAATTACATTGACTAGTTATTGCAAAAGGCGAATTAAAAGTCCTCTATGTGCATTACAAGCTGAAATATCTGTCAACTGACGGGGAATGTTTAAACTTAATGAAACAATGTAAGCTTAACAGCAATCATATATTTCAAAGTAATAACTTAAACAAAAACTTTATCTCAAAATTTTAAAATTGTAACAAAGCTTCTTCATAAACAACATTTGCAGTTTGCTTTCCATCTACCAACAAATAAAGATTTTGAGGTGATCCCATCATTGAACACCATACATCTCATTCAACATGAGAAAAACATGGTTGTTTGAGAAACAATCCAGTAACTTTCATACTTTGACCTTGAATTCCTTTAGAATATTCTACATCGTTTAAAGCGTAAACCTGCCAAGTTTGTTTCATATTGAATTAATAGGCTGGGAGTAATTAACCAGCAGGCTTTACGAAAATAGAAATAGGGTTAAGTTCAATTTTGACCCCTCATGTCATTCCCATACTTCATAGTGTTTACATATACGTTTTGGTTGAGATTAGCCCAATAGGTTGCAAACAGACACACATTTTATCTTTTTTATATATAGATATGTGATATCCGTTATGATTTATTTCTTATTTTGTAGTTAAAGAGTAATGTTAGCGAAATCAAACATGGCCGTGTTCTGATTGGTTTGGTAACCGTATCACTTTATAAGTAGAAAACTGAACTAGAATCATGCAATATACGTTCCAATAAAATTTATAGAAAATAAAAAAAAGATCGCTAGAGTGAAATTTCCAAGAAGTCCCAGGTTATTTTTTCACTCCTGTGTGTGTGTGTGTTTGTTAGCAGAATTTCTAGAAAACGGCTGAATGTATTTAGACAAAAGTTGGTATAAATTTGGACTATGACTCAACTTAGAAGTGTTGAATTTTTGTAGAGTCAAGGTCACAACAAGTTCACGAAAGTAAAAAAAAAAAACCTATCTGTTAACATAGAGACCGATTTTTGACCCTGTTTTTGCTCTATAACTCAATAAAAAATGATCGAATTTTGATTAAAATTGGTGGAACTATGTAGAATATTATTCCTCATTGTCTGTGTCCGTTCTTAAAGACGGACTTACGGACACATTTTCGTATTTTGTTAGGGCCGAATATCATCAACGCTACTTGGCAGAGGTATGCACTATAATGAGCCACCCTCTAGTAATTAATGTTATAGAAAAATAAAAAAAAGTTAATCAGAAACGAATTTATTACAAATATGTCTTGCTCCGTCGCTTTTAGTTCAATCGTCTATTTTTGTTTTGAATGAAAACGAGAGAAGAGATATATAAACGAGGAGATAAAGTCTTAACCACTGACTTAAAAGTAAGGAAAAATAAGACTGGTGTCCCGACTTCGTAATTGAAAAAAATAGTCGGTTAACTTTTTTTCTAAATTACTTTTTGATATGTAGTAGTCTACAAACCTTAATTAAGGTCTATTCTTTACTTAATGTTACTCTCATTATTAGTATTGATTGTTTAATATATACAATGTATTAATATCATAAATTTGTTTCTTTTTTATTATGTATGCTTTTGCTGCGAAATTAATTTTATATTGTTAGCTTAATATACGGAGTTAGGACTAAACTAAATCTAATAAACTAGATGAATTTCACGAGATATTATTCAGATCACAGCAAGGGTACCGAACTGATCAATCACTGCATTCTAATCATTATAAGTAAGAACAGTGTATTGAATTAGCTACATTCTTTATTGGATTAGCGTTTAGGCCTGATTTATGTGAGTAGCTTACTTAGATCAGAATGTAATGTAAAATACTAGCTTCTTGTATTTATTTATTCACTGCTATCAGAACTCAACTGGATGCAGAATAAGACCTCATTAAACTAAATATTTTAACTACTTCTAATGCGAATGTTCCAGTCTATATTGACTGATTTGATTAATTTCCCAAAGTTATTAAAGGAAATAAATATTGTGAGAAGTAATAGGTATGTGTTTACTAAATAAAACTTAATATGTATCTATTATTGAATCCTGTATGTTTGTGTTAGCAATAAAATAATATATATCTTTACTTATCTAATTTGTATATTAATTGTCTAATCAATGTATTATAAGGAAAGCTATTTTTGTTAGTTTCTTTTATCTTGACTGTCATAAAGAATCTAAACATTATCATTGTATTTAATTCGAGATTAATGTTTTGGATTTCACGTCATGTCTCAACAACCTGATTAGAAATGATTTTTCCACATGTTTTTAGTTCATTTGTACATTGCGCGTTCTTTCATCTTCATTTCTAAGAATGTTTGTCTTACTTTATTAGTTGGTATTTATTAATTATTGTTGTTTTTCCCCTTTAGAAACAGCTGATTAAAAGTGATAATTCAGTTTTCTTTCAAAGTTTAACAATTGATTTTAATTTCTAGACGGTCCACCAATGTCTCAACGTAACTTTCCGCCTTCCTTTTGGAACAGTAACTACCAACCACCACATCCTATCTCTGGTCCTACAACCATGACACCTGGTAATCATCATGAACTGTCTTATGCCACAGATCCTTACCACTCGGGGTCGCTTCACCCAGGAATCCACCAGAACGACCCTTGGCACTACACGTTGTCCTCACATGCACAAGCCGCTAATCCTTACTCTCATCGACCCATGCACGAACTAACATACACTGGAATGCCTTCAGTCCCAACGGGGAACATGTTTAACCAATATGGTTCACTTCTACTTCAACCCTCGATGAGGTCCTCTCGACTCACCCATGGATCAGCACCTTGCGCAAGTCTGGAAAAAACCACGGATACGTGGGGCACGCCGAGGTACCACGAGCCACTCACGCATAATCTTGGACACATGGAATCGAATTACACCGCCACCTATGGTACAATGGGAACTATACCAGGTATGTTCTCTTTCTGAAGTGAAATATTATGATGTGTCTTTTCATTAGGTGAATGGACGGTTTTTAATTGGATAAATTTAGAATCTGCTTTTGCACATACAGTAACAAAATAGAAAGGGATTAAAATTAGTAAGTGTTATATACATTGTTGTGTATATACTAACAAATAAGAGTTCAATTGTACTAATAGTCGACTCACATATACTTGCTTCGTGGAAATCTTATAGAAGGAGGTTGTTGTCGAAGTTTGATAATATATATAGATTAATAGTAACACTTTTAAGGATTTTTCTTTAATTACAGCTGTTACTGTTACAAAGTAAGTGTTATGAATATACTACTAATAAACTATTACGTTGGCTATTTTTGTTATGTTATTCTAACGCTGTTACTTGTCACTTTTATCCTCATCTGACGTATGTGTGAAAGCATAGATGTATTGAGTCATGCATTCACACGTCACATCTTGGAAAGCCACATTTTTAAAGATTACCTCTCTAAATGCCACATTTTAAAAATCCCGTGTTCATATATGTAACATCTTTTAAAGTCATTTGTCTAAAGACCATCCGTCCAGAAACACATGCCTAAAGATTACGTATAGCTAAATCACACGGAAATGCACAGAAAATAATAAATAGTTTTTATTAGAATGAAAAAAAATCTGAAACTTTCAAAGTTTTGCAACAGAGTTTACCGTTTATTAATAACACTTTGATCTGAAAACTGCTATTATTATTATTATCTTTATATGCATCTGTAAACTTGTATATTTCATTCTTTATCAAAGTGAAGTTCGAAATGTGTGGATAATTAACTCCCTTATATTTTAAGTTGTAACTTTAGTCAAAACTAAAATCTTAGCCCACCATTGGCACAGTGGTATGTCTGCGGACTTACAACGCTAGAAACCGGGTTTCGATACCAGTGGTGGGCAGAGCACAGATAGCCCATTGTGTAGCTTTGTGCATAAATTCAAACAAACAAACAAAAATCTTAAAAACTTCTAATCGTTCCAATACATTTATTTTCTTATTATCCTTGAGGGGTTATCTTGATTTTTGCTGTTCACGAAAATGAGATGTAAAGTGTATTATATGAGTGATATTTAAAGTGAAACCAGTGTATTATATGAGTGGGATTTAAAGTGAAACCAGTGTATTATACGAGTGGTATTTAAAGTGAAACCAGTGTATTATATGAGTGGGATTTAAAGTGAAACCAGTGTATTATATGAGTGGTATTTAATGTGAAATCAGTGTATCATATGAGTGGGATTTAAAGTGAAACCAGTGTATTATACGAGTGGTATTTAAAGTGAAACCAGTGTATTATATGAGTGGGATTTAAAGTGAAACCAGTGTATTATATGAGTGGTATTTAAAGTGAAACCAGTGTATCATATGAGTGGGATTTAAAGTGAAACCAGTGTATTATACGAGTGGTATTTAAAGTGAAACCAGTGTATTATATGAGCGAGTTTGTTACTGTAATCTAAACATATCTGGTTTCAACAAATGTTACTTTAGTAAAAAAATAATAATGTGATTTTAGGACTTTTGTGAACATTCTATATATTGCGCCTTGAAAAGGTGAGGGTTATTTGTTCAGAGTTGGAAAATTGAAGTTATATCCTGCTCTTGTTCCCTGAGAGTTACAGTTCTCAGTGTTTTTCCTTATTTTGTACTGACGTAGATCCTGGGAACAGCGGCTACATGTATGAACTGTACAAGTTACAAGCAATGCACGCGCCTCGTTCATACCGTTGAGACGTGCACGTGATGGCAACCCACACAGTACGTGTCGCATTGTTATTGTTTGTTTCCATGGAGACTTACGGTGATGGGCTAATACTAACACGCATGCGCTAAATATTAATAGTGGTGTTATTTATTATTTGGAGTTTAAACATTATATTAAATTAACTATTTGTCTAATACTTTGTATGATACATATTTTGCTAACCCTTACTTAATAGCGTGATCTTTTTCATTTCGATTTCTTATCAAGTTTTAATTACTCGTTAACAAAATTGCTTTGAAATTGTCTAAATACATATATTTTTTGAAACATGCAAAGTACTTTACACTTCGCTTACCATGTTTATATTCAGTCACGAAATTTTATTTAGGTAGATAAGTAAAATCCTATCCAACTATGTAATTTTGAGGATATTAATGATTTAACAACATCAATTTATAGAATCTTCATTACGAATTATAGTGCTACTTTTTTAAAGTGTAGAGGGTGAAAGGTCATGTGATTTTTGTTGAATATTTTATATACTGAGACTTGAAAGTATTTGGCTTCAAAGTTGGAAAAGAAGATAATGGGAAAAAGCAATTCACACTTTGTCTATATAAAACATATATCCGTAGATCGTGTTTATAATAATCGGTTTAATCTGGAAGTTTAAACACTTGCTGATTGTAATAGACGAAACAAGTATATAATATAATCATGATATTTAAAAAAAAATGGTTTTAAAACTGACATGAATAAATAATGAAGCGTGGAAACTTTATTTTTACTGATTTCTAGAAATCAAAATCGCTCTAAGAACTCTGAAGAAGCATAAGTCATGGTTTCCGAAGAAATGTTTTCTAACAATCAAACTCGTTTGCTTGTTTGTTTGGAATTAAGCACAGAGCTACACAATGGGCTATCTGTGCTCTACCCACCATGGGTATCCAAACCAGGTTTTTAGCGTTGTACGCCCGCAGACATACCGCTGTTCTAATGGGGGGGGGGATAACCATGACTTATGCTTCTTCAGAGATCTTAATGCGAGTTTGTTTTTTAGAAAACGTTTCTCCGGGAACCCTGACTTATGCTTCTTCAGAGTTCTTAATGCGAGTTTGCCCGGAGAAACGTTTTCTAAAAAACAAACTCGCATTAAGACCTCTGAAGAAGCATAAGTCAGGGTTCCTGGAGAAACGTTTTCTAAAAAACAAACTCGCATTAATAACTCTGAAGATGCATAATTCATGGTTCCCGGAGAAACGTTTTTATTTTGCTACAACAAACAGTGAAAAAGGAATGTGATTAAACATATGTCTGCGAATCCAAAACAAAATACGACTTTTCCTAGAAGAAAATAAATACCTCAGTATTATTGTTATTTTGAAAAAAACACGCATTTCAATTCTGGTAAAATGTGGTTTTTTAATATTATCAGTCTATTAGATCCATGTTTATCTTTTCGCCTTCTTCTGTTCCAAATCAGCTTCTGTTGAGCATATCCGACCTTCACAATATAATAAGTGTCAAAGCACGACTTAACGTCAAGCTTACTCAAAGCAACGACTTCTGATCCAATTTGCTGCCATTTACCCGAAATAGCTTGCAAACGACTGCAAGAGCTTTTCCTATTACTTTCTATTAGGTTGGCTTGTGAAACCGAGCCGTTCTTTAATCGAAGTGTGTCTGAGCTCCGTCATTATTGATCGGCGGTGACGGATGTGAACTTTGGAGATCAGCCGACGTGGAGCTGTTAGTGACAAACAAGTAGATTTTAGAAGCTGGCTACATCAATAACTGTACAACGGGCACGTGTCGCTTTTATTAAGTATCTGTACGTTAAGCGTTACTCCCGTACTTAAACACCATAAGTAAAAATAATAAAAATACAACTTAGAGTTTATGAATTCCACATGTGATACAGAATTAACATGTCAAGTATTATCTTATGTTTATTACTTAGTTAAGTTTGGTGTCTTTTGTGATCTTAGTAGTCGTCTTGAACTATACAAGTATGGTTGCTCAAGATCCTAGATAGAAAAATAGCAATTTGAAAATATAAGATACACATACATTGAAATGATATTCTGAAAACTATCGTGCAAAATTAATCAATGTTTTGTTTACTATTGTAATAAAGTTGTATATTAAAATAAGTTCTATAATTTATCAGGGTATTAAACATCGAATTATAAAAACAGTGCACTTAGCAAGCTCAATACCTTATATTTCCCATACGAAAGCTCTATTGAAATTTGAGCCTATATTACAATACAAAATCTATATAATGGGTCTTGAAGCCATTATTTTCTTTAATCAATATGTTTATACTGTAGCTAAATTAAGTTTTGTTCGCATAAAAGAATGGGGTGCAATTTTTACAAGGGGAATGTTGTTATGGAGATTATCAACTCTGCTTTGGAGTTGGTTTAATGCTTATTGTTTGCTTTTCTGTAAAATGTGCGGAAATAGAATATTAACTACTGTTTTAACCAATACAAAATTCTATTTAAATATTTTTTAGGTTTTGTAAGTTCTGTTTCAGTGATGTGTCTTTTGATGTATACGTGAAATCTGAATAAGTGCCGCACAACATTGTCCAATACTTCATGCTTACCCACAAGAATTTCAAGCTATTAGTGATTTACAAAAGATCATTGTTATTAGTTGATCAAGTTTAGTGCTTTTAATTATATTGATATAAAAACTAGATTAATTTCTATGTAATCTGTAAAATAAGGGTGTGTGTTAGACTTTGAGCATCTATACTTAAGAAAGCACCTACAGTATTTTGGCATTGAACTTTGTATAAAATAAAATGAATAATTGGCCAAAGAATTCACTGGAAATCTTATTAATGTAAAACTTAAGAGTTTAGTACAATCCTAATATCCTTAACAATTCATGTTGGTTTAATATTTTCATTTTCCAAATTGGACGTAGTATGACCTAATGGTTAGTGTGCGGGTCTGTGGATCTGTGGGCTCATGATTCGCATCGCGTTACTGAAGAAGAAAGAAACCGACCTCTGCACTCTGGGGTCGTGGGTGTGATATAAGAATGATGTTCAAATCCTTCTATTATATTAAAGGAGTTGGTGGTGAGTGGTGTTGACTAGTCGTGTTCCCTCTAGTATATTACTTCAAAATTAGGGCGGATACTTGAGTATTTGTGCACGAAATTCAACAAAAGAAACAACAGTTCAAAATTAGTGACTGCTAGACAACTCTTGTGTATGTTTGCACGAATATCGGGAAACGAACCAGGTCCAGATTAAGATCTTTGTTGTTTTATATCTAGCTGAAATGTGATATTGACCTTTCTAACAAATATAGATAACTTTAATTAAAAAGTTGCATCAATACTTTTAATTTTCATTATAATACATCGATTACTAAAGGTGTTATAAAAATTCGTATTTGGATTTATTGTACATATTTACAAAATTATGACACCAGTGCTCATAAAAAATCTTGACAAAAGGCTATAAGACGATTTAATAAGACGTCAAGTCTTTATAAATTAAAAAAAAGTTGTGTAAATACTTTTATAAACATGAATACCGTACTTTGAAAAATTCCAA